ACTTTATCTATGAAATTTTAAATCAAACGTCAATGTTCGATTCTTTATGCAGTAAATGACTAATACAATGATGAGAGTTGACGCGCAAATATGATTACCTTAAATTGTAAAAAGTGGTCCTTTCAAAAAATGTAAATGACAAACAGGTTTGGAGGTTTCGTTTATAAACAAAACAGGCTGTTTAGATCAGGTTCTGTTCGGGCACGTTGTTGTTGTAAAGCGTGGGCGGCCTTGACTGAGCGAAGGACGGCCGGTGCGCGAGCGCAGGGGGCGTGGCACACACGCGAGAACCAGTATGGATGATTGCGGATTATTTTTTTGCTATTTCAACATCACGTCGACTTGTTAGAGATTTTTATGGAGACATAATGAAATTAGTTTGGACGTGTTATACATTGTTGTTGCTTATCTTTGATTATAGTCCTGCTCGATACTCAGAGTTTGCTCTCTAATCTAATTTATTTTCGCAATTTAGCATCGTTATACCTAACATTCTTACTAGTGTGTCCCTTTTTATTTTATCTCTAAGGCGAATAAAGCGGTTGGTTGGTTGGTTGGTTATCTATTTCTTCTGTGTAAGCTTAGAGGTCTATTGTAACGCAGGTCACTCACACTGGCACCTCGTTGTTACTTATTATTGTTTGTTCTTTGCTTTAGATTTGGTCATATATACTACTTATGTTCTGATAGTGTCCTTTAAATTTTTCCACCGAGTGGCTAAGATTTATACATTATGTTGTTTTGTTGTATTACATTGTAAGATCACACAATCTAAGTTCATATATTTGCTAAAGTACCCACTCGTTTCGAGTTTGGTCTGATTGTTACATCGTGAGTTTACCCAGTTTAAAAACTCAGTATGGTTTATGATAAACTCATTTACTCGTGAGCACGTCGGTGTCTATACTGTCGAAATTCTAGATACTTCAAAAGTCGAATAAAGCGTATCTAAGATCCGGTTAATCTTTAATTATTACGTGGAATTTATGACGGCGTTGTTAAAAAAACATTTTCTAATCATAAACAAAGTAAAAAGAATAAGTTATTAAACTTTCAGTCCATCAATGCCAATATCCACATTACAGAAACGTTAGCTAGTTGCGGGCAAAGCATCTACTAGCAAAAACATCTACCGGTGGTTCATTATTCAAGGGGCCCAGACTGGCGGAACGTTCGCTTGACGAGTACGTGGTAAAAATAATAATAAGCGTTGCGTTAGTACAACCAGTTGCCTTCAGCTTTTCAGTGTTTCATTCACTTTTTTTATCAATAATATATTGTCCCAATATTAGTCGTTGAAAGTCACTATTTTTGTCTGTCTGTTTATACGCTTCTAAATCACGCAATATTTTGATACGTGATTGGCTATCAATTTTAAAATTTCTTCAAGAAGGTTTATGTGTATTTAACCTATATGTAAACGAACTATGTCACATATGTACGTTGTACATCCGATGTGTGTGAACCCGAGGTGGGTCGCTAGTTTGTTATGTAACAGTTATTTAATATTTGTAATTGGCCGCTATCAGTTAACGCTGATAGTGGCTGATTAATTATTTTCATTAAACTTTCTATTACGCCATTTAAATCTGCTACTAGCTTACTGCTATGATTTTTAAATTTCGTGAACTCATTTTTTTATTTTATTAAATAATAGAATAATATTAATATATTGCCGCTAAAATCACTGTCAAAATTATTCTTTATTTTATATGAATTTACGATTTTAATCTGTTACACTTTCCTAAGCGAAATCATTAGATACGATTTTACATCAAAATTCAAACAGAGTTCAGAAATAGGGTTATGAACCATGGAAATCAGTGTAAAGTTAAATGTATAGATTTTTATTCCATTTTATTAGTAACATAATTGTTAAGCAAAGCAAACCTTTATCCCATTATTAAGGGTCGGCCCCGTGTGTTATCTTCCATCGGTCACGATCAGCCGTCATTTCTGAGCTTACTACTTCTTTTATGGATATTATATTTTACACAGTCCATCTTTTCTTCGGTCGTCTTCTCCCTGTACATTTTTCTACTTTCATATTGCTATTTCATTAGTATTCTATCTCTGATATTACATCTGATACTTATTTCTATCAAAACCGTCATCGATATTTTCTTGCTATTCCACACGTTGACAACAAAATTGCCATTCTCTAAATATTTAAAAAACACGAAATATGCATACTTACGAATGACATCCTTCACATTTGTACCCCTTTTAACAAGAAATACGCGGGATATCAAGGTAAATAGTAAATTATGCACGTAATTTAAACTGATTGTTTTCAACACGGCAGTGCCAACATACTTGTACGAAGACGGCTGTAAACACGTATACTTATTTAATATCTACTTACTTAGTTAAACATGGAAATTGTCAATTTAGTGTTGTCTTTTACTAGAGTTTACATACCGGACTAGAATTCTGTTTGTCATAGTTTATGTGACATGTAGTTTGGCATTTGGATCTACATTGCGATAAACACTAAAATTATCTCGCTCTGTATTAGAAACAACTTTATTATTACAATCCAAATATTTTCTTTGCGAATCTACGAAGCTGTGTTGTCGTCTAAATATAGAATCGACCTGGCATCGTCGACTGCTGTTTCATCCCGGCATTTACCACTGATTTATAGTTATTTGCCTTATTTACGTTGTTTGTCATTAGTCCGATCTCCTATACAACTAACATTGGCTACGGTCGTTGCTCTATAGTTTTACGCAATCAGCTTAAAGGCTTGCCGGCTCTTTACAGCTGATTTGTTATCTTTCTACAAGGTGATAAACGTTAGAATCACACGAGCAGTGATATTTGAAAAATTCATAAAGATATATAACCTAATACTGTAAAATAGATCATATTTACAACTTCATTTTAATTTATAATAGGCATATATATTTGCTTCTTAAATTGTATATAGTTATTATGCATACTTTTTTTAAAGTACATTTTGTGTACTTTGGAATTCTACATATTGTATATTGTAAGCGACTATTTAACAAAACCTAGCCTAGATTTCCATCAGTACACGTCTAGTATTTTTGGGAATCCGATCTCATTGAAATCTGTTATAGAATCATATAATGTCTGCCCTCAATATTACAAATTAAATGGCCATATTTAAGTCTCTTGTTGCATAATTGTATAATAAGCTTGTTTTTCCAGAACATAGATAAAAGAACTTTTCGAAGAGAATCTCAAATTTTAGATTTATATAACCTAAATTAGTAATGTCTTTGTAAAGCCAATATAACTAGATTCGTCAAAATTAAATATGACAACATTAAAAAGTACTTGACTGTGAATGTCTAAACTTATATAATTTTTCCAAGTTTTAGGCAGTTTATGAATGCGAGGTGTATTTTACACTGTAGTAATTTTTAGCATAACGGACTAATTTCTTCTTTATGTGCTGTCTCTTACTGGAGGTTGGCGATCATCCGGGTGATCTTTAAAGGACTAACTGATATTTTTAAAGTGTCAAGTCCCAAGTTATTGCGTTCGTGTTTGGTAAACACATAGAATTGTTATCCAATCTGCTGTCTGTTGGTTGTGCCGTGATTATCCAATTTGTGAGCAAGGCCGCAGTCTGAATAGAGTCGTACAAAATAAACACTTCGTTGAAGCCTATACCTAATGTCATTGCATCTCTTGGATCATTAATTCTGTACTTATTCTTTCCTGCTGTAAGTATTTTAAATTTTACTTTCAATTCTGATAAATTTTACTAAACTTTTTAGAGGTAAACCTCTTATTTGTTTCTTATCTTTTGACTGTCGCGACTTTCTAAACCGATTTTGGCGATTCTTTTTTAATGAAAGTATTTTTTTGGAAAGCGGCATTTTACTTGAGCTATTCCAGTGTTTATCCTGTTCATATAGACATATCTGTAATTTTAATATTCTACTTTGACTATTATCATTTGTTATTATGGTATAGGTAGGCAGAAAATTACGATTACACAACATACAACATAAACCAGAAATAGAGAGAGGTTTATCTTAAGTATTTCATCAAAAATTTGACCTACATTCAAAATATTCACTGCACTGTGCGAGTTGTAATAGCTCTTTATTATTCACTGGCTTGATATGAATACCAGTCATTCTATTGCGGAAATCTTTTAAATGAACGATCATTTTAGCGAAGTCTAGTGTTATTTACGAGTATTCACATTTGTACCAGTGTATGTTAATAAATCAAAGACTTTTGAAATTAAAAAATAAAAATATGAATGCCGGTAACACATAAATTAATGAAGGAAATTCATTAATTTATGTGATACCGGCATGGTGTGTGTACTTAGTTTCGCTTAAATCTGATTCTTTCGTGATCGTGCGTTTGTCATATGAATTAATTTCTTTGAAGTATCTAGTTTAATTTTTACGAAAAACCATTAAGTTTTATTGAGAATTACGATTTGCGTTGGTACATCTTTCTTTATCCGTGATAATTGATCTAATTTAATGATACCGTTATATACGGCGATGAATGAGATTATTTTAGTTTTATCAGTGTCGTACGGCTTGATCTACTGTAATTCTGTCTCATAATTTTTTTAAGCGTTCAGAATTGCAGATAGAGAAATTTTGTTTTGTGTATGTTATTCCATATATACATTACTCTTTTTGTAATAGCTAACCGTCTCATTCATATTTTTAAACGTTGAGTTGTAGATAGAAGTAATTTTGTTTTGTGTATGTTATTTCATATATTCTCTACTATTTTTGTAATCTTTAGACTGGAAGTTACTTGCTTTCTACAAATTTTGTCGCTACTTTTTTATAGAACGTAGTTATTTCAAAAACAATAGTTCTGATTGATCTATCAGTGCACAACTTAAATCGTTGAGATAATTAAAATTTAATTATACCTTCCTCCAGAAAAGTGGAATTATCTGAATTTCCCTCGGAATCAGATCAGAAGGTAGATTCTTAAGGACACTGAGTAAACAGTTGGTCTTAACATAATTTTTATTTCTTCACCAGGTCTTCGGTACTGTGGAACTGCCGGACAAGCCGATCATGCTGCCTCCATTCGTGGAGGCCACGCATTGCCTTGGCTACCACTTAACCCGCAAAGGGCGAGCGGTTGCCGACCGAGTGGTCTCCGTACTCGGGTATGCCTGCCCGGACATCACATACAGCCCCAGTTTGTACCCCATTACTGCGGCCTTGCTGCATTTTATGCCTGGTGAGTGTTTTTATGCTATTTTTTTAACAATACGTGACTTTGGTCGCCTATAATTGAGATCTTTTTCACTTGGTCGATCAATTGTTCGTTATATTCATCAAATATTATTGATTTCAATCTATGTCGTTTATATAGGTGTAAGTAATCCGTGTATGTCTGAAATTACGTAATATTACGTACGTAATAATATCATTAGACGATTCAAAATCTGCTACTTAGCAAGTCTCAGTCGTTTAATACAATCTATCTACGCAGTCAGGTAATAACACGTTTCATAAAACATCCTTTCAATTCTAGTGTAGAGGCGTCACAGAATTTACAGTAGCTCTCTCGCCTTAATTCAGTAATGAGTGCGGGGGGCGATAATTGAACTCGGCAATAGGCAAATTGCCGGAGCATTTTGTCCCGACCATATCTCAGTTATCAATCTAGACAGCTAAACGCATTGTAGTCTGTAATGTCTCGCAATAAGAGCTATACTTCTTCACATTTGAAGCACGTCCCAGATGATTGCTACCAGAATCTGAATTGGACTCTCATGCGTTGTGATACAGTTTGGAATACCATTACGATTCCATTGAGCTGTCATGATCACACGACATATAGACAACGATGGTACGACACAGATTTGCATTGCGTCCGTCGTGCCGCAAATTTCATACGTCTCACTTCCTTCGTCGCACGTTAGCGCATAATTGATTGGAATGCGACCACATGTTGTTCGGAATCAATATGGAATGTATTTTCGTGGATGCTGCCTACGTTTGACAAGTTCTATTTATGTCGCACGACCAACCTCTAAACCGCTACGAGTACGCTATTATACAGACTGACCATTTATCACTAGCCGCGTCACTTGATCTGTGAAGAGGCGACTGAGGGCGACAGTGTCAAATTGGTGACCGGATGATTCTAGAAGTGACAATTTCCTGCTCTTCCACTCCTGCATTTCTGTGTTACAAGTTTGACTAATTTTGAACGCTTTGGAAAAATAGTGTTTTAATTAAATTTATTATAAACCTTTAAAAATAATTATTATTGTCATTGAACAATTAAACGCGTAGCATTCGCAGAAAAGTTTCGTGTTGGTCTTGGAAATGCGGAAAGAATAAATATTTCAAAGTTTTCATGTATTTTACAGGTTTAATGTAGAAATTTGTCATTATTCTGTTATTCAATTAGAAAATGATGTTGTTGAGGTTACATATAGTCTTTAGAAATATAGACCCGATTTATCATCATCAATTTTAAAAATATGCGCATTTGCCTATTTTTATATTTTACTGAAACGTTAAATGCGATATTATATTACAAGACGAACGTATGAACGAGGATTTAAAACTTCGACATAACAAATATAACGCTGTTATCTTAGTCTCATCTCACTGTTTGCGTCATTTTACGGTGTCGCTTTGTGACATTGTTCAACAGAGCGTTATACTAGTCAAAATTATATTATAATCTAGCTGCACACGCAACTTCGTCCGCGTGGATTAAATTTATTTTTCTAAAATAAAGGTAGGCTAACTTACTCCTCATTACATCAGCTACCTGCTAATAAAAGTCCCGTCAAAATCGGTCCAGCCATTTCAGAGATTAGCCGGAATAAAACAGATAGACAGACAAAAATTAAAAATAATGTTATTTTGGTGTATATGTACCGTATTTATATTCATATGCATGTAGTAAAAAATGGTTATTTCAATATTACAGACACTCCAATTTTATTTATATGTATAGATGACGTTGTTGTGGGGCGTGTTACAGTGCGACGCAGTCTAGCATACGTTGTTTATACTTTTCTATAGATATCCCCACTGATTACATCTGTCTCTGAGCATCATTGCTGTTCATTACGTAGATCTACATCATATGTCACAATATTATTTTCTAAGTATATGTTTATATCGTTCCGTAACTATTTACTTATATAGAACAATTCTATATCCCAAGGGATGATGAACAATATAGTTACTGTGGGATTTTGTACATACTTATTATTTATGAGTAATACACTGCATACAGTGTATAAAATAATGTAGACAGTGTCTAAGCACTGTCTGTGGCGCTGGCGAACGGTCCGATGGTAGCAGGTTGTTGTAGCATAGTTAAACAATTCAGAACATAGTCCAATATTCTTAAATACGGTAGAACATACAAAACGAGGCGAAGTCCTGCTAGTAACTTCACCGACAATACTTATGGCGCTGTATAAACTGTAGTAAACAAACTGTATAAATTGTAGTTTAAAAAAATTGCAGACACAATTAAGGTTAATTATATCTGCAAGTTTTTTCGTTCATGGTTACCCTTACATTATTGCAATAGAAATTTAAATGTCACAGAAATTCAAGATTGTATTGAACTTTCATATCTGCTGCATTAATCAAGTAGAACTGTGTAAACTTTGTAAATTTTATTATTTAGTTTAATGAAAAGTACACCAAAATGGATGACAGTGGACAATGGAAAAGTAGACTTAATGTGCAGATCCCAAAAACTGGGACAAAGGTACGAAATGGAATTAATAATGAAATTTATTTCGAATTAGATCCAGGATTTAAATCTGCTTGCAAATTAACGTATAAATGTATTAACTGTGTTGAGCATTAATCTAATTATTCTGCTGTTGATAACATTTTTAAACTCGTTAAACGTCCGTGACATGACCTTCGTGATTATCATATAGTACGTGGACCGGCGAATACAATAATGTATACAATTATTGTTCTAACAACAAAGCAGAAATTAATACACAGCGAAATGAGAATGATGGATGGATTTTATTCGATAATAGGGGACGAATATGTACTTATGTTGCTTGTCACATACAACCCCAGGTTGAATGTCATATAAAAAGTGCTTCAGAGAATGATACTAAATAGGCTAATTCTTTTATTAAAATAACTTACTAAAATATGATTTAACTTGATTTAGGCCGTGGTTTTAGTGTATGGCACCTCGCCAATGCCTCTATCGATCAGGACCAGGCGCAGATTGTTCACTCAGCAATAAACTTAACAATATAATGTAAAATCATAATGGTCTCTCCAAACTTGCCGACTGTAGATACTAGTTACATTTTATTACCTTTAGTTAATTTATTATCAAAACTTGGGAATATGTCTACATTGATTTCAATCCTTATAAGACCCTTATGGAATACTTACATTCCATCGACCATGTGTCCTTATCTAACAATACAAACTAATGCTTATCAATGATTATACATATGATAAGTGAAGTTGCGCCTACGTGACGTTCAACGTAGCTTAAATTTTATGAGTTAATTGTGTCCATGTTTGGTATCTCTTATACCTTGTTTTAAAGTACGGTTCGATTCAGTACAGTTACTTTAAACTGTATCTAAGATTTCATGTTAAGCGATCCGTTCAACTACTTCAAATTCAATTAATTCGTCACAAAGGACGTAAGGGTCTGGCAAAAAGCTTCAATCGAATCATTACATGTTTGTTCGCGTTTGAGTTCACTCGAGTGAAACGCCTTCCTGTTCCGCACCGACACCTTATTTCTCTTACAAACACATAAACGCTTTTGAGTATGACAACATCAAGTTCCATTTGAGTCTTAAATCATCTTCGAATTATCTTTAAGGGGTTGATTTGTGCCATTCAGATTTTCTTATTACATTAAGAATGTAAACAAACAAAACACTATACGTCCAACAAATTTAATATTCTAAAAATGACTTGATGTAAAAGCTTTAAATTTTGTGATTTATTTTTCACAAGCTCTTGCTGGGATCCATTTGAGCTGAAATCTGGTGCATTTTTAACATGACGGTACTAAATTCCGTTTAATGGACCAGATTCACTACGTTCAACGACATAAAGGAGATTTAAGATCTCTCAAACGTAATGAAAATCAAGTTCAAATATTAAAATTTAATGTAACCAGAATATTAATATCAAATAACTTATAATTTTGTATAGTAATTAGAACTTACAAATAAAAAATAGATCGAATTTCGTTATTTGTGTTAGAAATTCGATTGAAAAATAAATAATACTTATTTATTTTTCCTCCGGAGACATTTTTATTAAAACTTTATTTACGTTATGACCTTGCTACCGGTTTTCTCTACAGATTACCTAACTTCTCAGCAAATATTTAATAGCAAAGCTATCGCATTAGGGATTATTGATTGGTCTCGATGAGTAATTGGTTTACGGATAGCGACCGTGCTCCGAGCATGGATATGTAAAGTGATTACGAAGTTTCTACTTTATTAAACGTTAATTTAACAATTTAAGCTTCATTGTGTTGGAGAAAAATAATATTAGAAAAAACAGGAAAAATTTGTAGGCTCACCTGGATTTGTCTTTTTGGAATACAATGACGATCGATGTCAAATGATATTTAAAAATACTAGTGGTCGCCCAATGTTCGAAATTAATTAACCATAATTAATTTTTATTATAAGTTTGAACATTATTAAAGTTCCTACCGTATGTAATACGTCAAATACACTACCACCGTGTATTTGACGAAAAACATGTATTTAATATTTTTTTTATTGATATAATTTATTTTTTCTGTATAATTAAAAAAAAAATACAATCATTTTGCACTCTATATAAAACTATAAGTGAGTGAGAAAATTTCATTCTCCTCCGTTTGCGCAATTTTCGTAAAAGTTAGTACACAGTTTTTGCGTCACGTGTTAATACAATGATTATAGAATTGAAGTTAGAATATTCTAACAATTTAAACTATGTATATCTAATATCTAATTGAAAGCACGACGATGATCGACGTTTTGATGACGCTGGATATTAGTCAACACCGTATTTATCATCTTCTTAAGGTATATCAGTAACATCTGTACTTTACCTACATTACTAACTTCAATTTAGTTGTCTGAATAATTTACTAAAAGGACATAATCTAAAGAGATAACATTGTCACTTTACTGTATAGATAAAGATTGTTTTTCTTGTACCTACCAAATATGTCATCAATGAAGATACGGGTAATCT